TCATCATCACCAGCCTATTAATGCCTTTTGCGGCATCACAGGCCATCCCTATTGATGGCATAGGGCGAATGACCCACCACGGGGCTTAACACAGATTGACAGTTACCAAAAACCGGGACCAACGGCTTAACGTGCCTTTCGACGCACGGAGGAGGTCGAGCAAATAAGATTTTGGTCACCCACCATTCAAAGACCGAATTGCTCAGTTGCGTGATTTCTATGAACGCGGACCAGTCACGCTAACCACCTGTGTAACCGAGCTCCTCCATTCGTATTCAAAAGGACAATGCCAGAAGTTCTATAGAGGTTTAACCCACCCGATAAAATTTCTGTACACGAATGCGATAAATGACATTTGATAGCTGTAATATTAGGAATCAAAATAGTATAGTTGTAAATTCTCTAGAAGCTGCGGTTATTGAATAATATACTAACAAAGAGTACAATTATCATACGTTTCTCGAGCTGCAATTTGAGCAGAAAATTGGAATTGCTATAAATTATTAAGTAGGCGCTTTCATAACTTTATCGTTTCTTTCGTTTTATCTTTTTATCGTTTTTTTTTCCAGTTCTCTTGCAGCTTCATGTTTCCATTGCGACAATGCTCATTTAACCGCAAGTAAGATTCATGACATACTACTGCTTCAGGTGGTAGCTAAAAGGACAATTTGGTTAAATATTTATGTTTCAATAAAATGTTTGAATATGAGAATGCACTTCGTTATTATTTTGTTTTATTAAATTATCAATCATACCTGCTGTAACGATATCCATGAATTCAACAGTATCCGTTTTGTAGCTGTTAGTGTATAAATGACATGCCTTTGTATTCTATCGACACATAAATAATAATTTATGCATCGCAACATGGTTCCAAATCTCAAACGACGATGTCGTCCAAATCCTTTTGTTTGACGGAAATGTCATTCAAAAGGATATCAATCCAGAATAACGTTTAGTTTCACATAGGTTTCACTTAATAATGTGTATGCGCATAAAATATAAAAGGTACTGGAATAGTTAAACTTATTTATAAACATAAATTAATTATATTAATAACCGGAATGCTTATTTTATCCATAATATTAAAAAAGAGAACGATATTTTTCGAAAACTTGACTGACATTTTATTGTTTGTCGTGAAACAAAACGCATATGTCATGTTTTCGTTCTTCTCCTAACGGAAACAGTAGATACAAATTATTTTAATATTTATTTCGTATCCGCCGCTTTTACAAAGTAATAATTATATCAGTACGAGAAAAAAAGTCGTATATATTTTTACATAAATTTAATATTACTGTATATGGTGGGTCAGAATCTGTCATTGTCATTTAAGGCCCCTATTATAGAAAGATTCTCAGTGATTGATCTAGTCTTGAGCATAGCTAGAAAGGGATGTCGCTATTTAAAGCACATAGCGACATCCCTTTCTAACTGTACTCAAGTAAAGATCAACACTTAGTCGTCATTCTGTAATACGGGCCTTAATATTTTAGAAGAAATCATCTGTAGCGCGTCGAAGCTCGTAGTCGTAGACAGCAACGTGTACCGTAGCTTGTTATGTAGCGAGTAGCGACGATGCAAGAGTAAATTCGCATGCCTAAGGTATGCTAAAAGGGAGAGCTATCTTCCTTCCTTCCTTCATTTTAATTTAATTCTATGTACCATTATCCTTAACGGACATCTTAGATTAAAACAAATAGGGAAGATATGGTACGCCCATACTAGTATCAAATAAAATATGCTCCGACTCAACCACAGAAGCAACTCTCACACACCTCTGTAAATAATATTCAATGTAGTGAGCGAGACAGAACTGTACCCCTAGCACGAACCATTATACTAAAAATCAGTACACATTTTTGGCAATGACATTTCGCACTCGCAAACTATTCGAATTCGATAATGGTTCGTTCGGGTACTGAACGCTTTAACGCAGCGCGAGCGAAACGGCGCGGCGGCGCGGCGAGTCCGCGTCCGAGTCTGCACGGCACAGCTGTTTTGTTGTCCTTTTCTTGATAACAAAAAAGCGGTTACGTAAATAATATTCATGACATACCGTGCTTTTTTAAGAAAAAAATTTTTTTTAGAGTTGTTGTTATTTGATTGTTAACAATTTGTCTTCTTTATAAAAGCATCGAAGGCATTGTTTTATCTTTATAACACAGAATATACGCAATATTGTTATATTGAGTGCACATGCACTGTCTTTGAATGTCCATTTGTGACTAAAGCGAATTGTGGTCATGCACCACAATTTAAGCGGGTCACTTTTGAGCCGCGAGTGCCGTATCTTCTCTTTTTATTTTAATCTTAAAAGGGACATCAAACCCAAATAAATAAAATATCTAATTGTGCCATGTCAAGCTGTATTGAAAAGAGAATAGAAACAAGTGGTCGTTGGATGCTTTTCCACCACTCACTCTGGAATATAATTCCCGCCCTGTGTCATTATTCTTCGATACATATAATAAACGGATATTCAAGACAGGATAAAATATGCATTATTTGAGTCTGCATGCTCCATCTTAGACCACATCGTTGATAAACATCCGGTGCGATTGTGTTCAAACGCACTCAAATCTTTTATAACAAACTAGCTGACCCAGCGAACTTCGTACTGCGATAAAATTAGGGGTAGGTGGTAGAAGAGAAAATTTAGAGTTGTATGTATTTTTATACCACATTATAAAAAAATAAATAATGTCCAAAAATATTTTAGGGTGTATAACGTAGTGTTCTATCAATTTCCTGGGATAACTTTCCTCCTAACCACTTAAGGATATGAAAAATAGATAGGTAGTAGCCGATTCTCAGACCCACGGAATATGCATATAAAATTTCATAAAAATCGGTCAGGTCGTTTCGGAGGAGTATAGTAACTAACCATTTGTTTCCCGTGGTCCACCTCGTAGTCCCCCCAGGTGGACCAACGGGATTATTTTTTCCCCGTGGTCTACCTGAACATTGTGACACGAGAATTTTATATATAAGATAGTATAAGAAAGAAAGTGGTTTAGGTACACAAAATTTGACAGAATTGCTTTGCATACAATATGAAGAACATGCGTCGTCTGCCTAAATGTAGGTCTGTGTTTGTGATGTGATTGGCAAAGACACTCATGATAATTGCGGCTGGCAAAGGTCGAAGGTGACGACAACTGGCACTCGCAATATTGCCTGTTGGCAACTCAACACATAGTTGAAAACCTTTCTTTCTTTGCGTCAACAGCCTAGTTCTCCAGAGTTTGAGGTGCCACTTACTCGATATTACGACTAGTCGACAAATTGATGTGAAATCTCTTGATATATTTTTCGACGTACCAATTTTGATGAATATTGGTATTAAGGCAAAACCTTAGAGAAGGAAAGGTTGAAGATGTATAGGGTTAAAAGATTTAATAGGCAGTAAATGTTTATATTATTACAGAAATAAAATAAACACATGAAGCCGTTGTAACATCTCGGTCTGGCCGCTGTACCTAATCTGATGGAACAATAGGGATTCAGACCAAATAACTCCGGCGCATGTGTCATATCGGACATTGACTTAAAAAATGCTTCCACTATTTTAAATTTTTTTATCGCTCTAATTTTATTAATAAATCTTATGAAGACAAATTCTTTAGCCGCTGATGTTGAAGCGCCGATGTATTAACAAAAGATTTTACAATCCATATTTTATTATAAAAATACTTTTTGGAAATTATTGCACAAGGTAGTCTGACCACCCGTCATTTTCGCAAATTCTGCCGAACTCAAAATTCAAGGCAGATAGACAATATATCTAGTTTAACTTACCTTTAAGGATAATGAAAATGAAAGGAAAGTGTCCTCCCTACTCTTTAAGAATTTGGGGAAAAATTCGAAACTATGTCTCTTCCTTTTTAAGTATAAGAGCACATATTTTTTCTTTTAAGCACTATTTTCACTAATTGGGAACTAATTATGGCATTATTGAAATACCTGAATTCCATGGTGAGTATGCGAGGTGTAGGTACACGAGATTACGATACTAAATAGTTACCAAATGTAGATAGGAAAGCTAAGTATATACTTTAAGTACTGCGAGTCTCATTTTGACTTGTGTTCAGGTCACTGAATTAAGCGTGGAATCATAAATGGTATTGCATTCGTCGTAGATGTATGCGATGGAGGTTGCAGGCGACGCGTCTGCTTTAATCAAGGACGGATGTGGTGCGGTGCCTGCAAATAACTTCCGCGCTGCCGGCAGAGGCGGCGCTTGCCGTGCCGTGTGCCACTTCTGTGCTCACACAACGTCGCTCATCTAACACAAGTACCTACTAAGTTTGGCGAAATAACATCAGCAGTTCTTTGTAAGATAAAACTCATCTTTCACCTTGGAATCCGCGGTGTGAAAATTGGAACACGAAATTCAAATAAATTTCATATCACATCGGCGAATTCCGCGGTAAAAAAATGAGTTAGTTCTGCAGCACGTCGATTCTGTAACATGCAGTCTCCTTTTCCGATTTTGTCAATTAAATAGTATTGACATTTTCAAATATGTATTACTGGCTGCTTTAACAGTCCTTGCGTTATTTTACCGTGCAATGAAGTACCTAGTGCTAATCTTATGCTTAAAATTTGAGCTATTGAACTCGGTAGTGAGATTTTATGTAGGTGTTAATTTATCTTTATAGGTTTATTTTATTACATTCTCAATTGCAAAATGATTAAAATAATTGATTGAGAAGTGTACAGAGACATAAACCATAAATAGACTCTACCATGTTATAACAGCCCATTAATTTAACGCAGTAATTTCAAACTTTTCTCTGTCGCACAACTTATTTCTACTAGATGTGTGTTTGCAATATTTCACACGTCATCGTTAAGACTTTGAATGTCGTGAATGTTCCAACATTTCGAAACATTAAGTAGCGTGGAGAAGCGTATATGTCCACGATCCCGCGTGCAGCGAGCAAGGCCGCGCGGCGCACGCGCGACGCCACTCCGCACACCGCCGCCGCCGCGGCCGCTCACGCCCGTAGACTTACCGACGGCGATATCGCGATACTATCTAACTTGTGAGCGGCTTCGTAACTTTCCTTTCTACTTTGCCGCGAATTTCGTTTAAAGTTACAAAAGTATGAGGGTAGTCGTAAGTATTGTTTCGATGCGGTCGAGGTGAGAGCAATGCGCCGCGAGCAGCCGGCCGCCGCGCGATGAGCGCGCGTCGCACGCCGCACGCGCGCGCCTCCCGCTTGCACGCGCAGCGCATCGCAAGAGCTATCCTGCCGCTAGTACTGACCATCGCGCAAGCACAGTAAGTACTTACTTATTTTAAGTTGAAACTTTTCTTAATTAAACAATCTTAATCTAATAAGTAACGTAACACTCTTATACAAGATAAAGCGATTGCGAAACCCTGAAGCGATGAAAAATATAATAATTAGTCACTCACCTCCTCTTGTTTGTAAATTGATGAACAGTACTTCTTCTTGATTTAGACCGCATTGTTTCATCGATAGGAAAAAATATTATAGTTAATGTAACGTCAAATACTTACCTACATAGTAAATGTGTGTAAAATTTGACAAATGGGTATTTTTTTCTAGTATAAATAACTACAGTAAAATTTAACTACATGTAGATGAAACAACGCAGCCTTAGTGTTAAAGTTCACCATTGAACTTAAGTTTTCACCAAGTACGTATGTACTTGGTACTGTTCACTGGAATAAAAAGAAACCGGCCACGCGCAGTGTAGGGTTCCGTAGTTGCTCGTCGTCACCACAATATATTTTGGAAAGAGTCTATATTTTAAGCAATAGAAGAAGTAATAACTTAAAAATACACTAGAGTCACTTTTATTGTTTTCTTCTAAGGAATTTTATTAGGTAAGAAATTTTCTAATACATAAGTTGAACGTCATTCACACACATTTATTTTAGCCGTTATAATTCTCCTTAAAAGTTCATGAAAAGCACTATTATCTTGAATTATTCCAGATTTTTCAAGCCAATAATTGAGTTTTTAGAGGGAGGGGGAGGAATTATTCGATCAAAAATAGCACTTACAAGTTCAATATTTCTAAATCGAAAAATAGTCTTCGGACCCCTGAGTATTTTTTAATAATTCAACGTGTGGGGTGTCCACACGATGGGGTAGACGATGAAAAAATAAAATCATGTCCAGGTTATATGTAGGGGGAGCTACATTAAAAAAAAATCAAAATTTTATCCTACCATGTTGTGGGCATGATTGAAACATCTCCACAAAATTACAGCTCTATAGTGCTAACTGTCTCCAAGCAAAACCGGGGACGGACAGACAGACGGACATGACGAAACTATAAGGGTTCCTTGTCAGGACTACGGAACCCTAAAATCAGTGTCCATATTTTAGCGAGTTCAGTAATGTGGGAAACAGAAGCAGACTCGGTAAAGAGTTGGATAAAGTTTTGCCCGCCGAGGGTCGGATGGCTGCGGTGTACCCAAAGACATTCCGATGGTGTTGTGTTGGGTTTGGTGCTTGAAAGGTTTTTCAGAGTTCGGATACCACGGCGTGTTATTGCTACTGAATAGATAAAGGAAATGAGGAGCTCGATGGCGCAAGTGGTTAGCGCGTTCGGCTACGTTCGGCTACGTTCGTTGAAGTTAAGCAACTTTCGCAGTGGTCGGTCATTGGATAGGTGACCAAAAATTTACTATCTCGAGCTCCTCCGTGCTTTGGAAGGCACGTTAAGCCGTTGGTCCCGGCTGCATCTGCAATCGTTAGCACCCATCAATCCGCACTGGGCCTGCGTGGTGGGTCATAGCCCAATCTCCCTATTCCATCCATAGGGAAGGCTTGTGCCCCAGCAGTGGGGACATTAATAGGCTGATGGTGAGATAAAGGAAATTACATAAAATATATTAAGAGTATTGTCAATGTAAATTTTTCTTTACCTTTTTACATTTTTTATAAACTCAATCTATATACAAACAGGGTGACAGGAAAACTTCACCTATTCCTTGAAAGGGAATATACTAATGGTCAGTGGCAAATAAAATCCAGTGGACTAGGGGTCAAAACTGGACGGTTACCGAGTCATGATGGTTCTTCGATTTATCAAAAAAAAATCTGATTTACTGCCAAAATACAGTAATTATGAGTAAGCTACCTACACCCTGAACATTGAATTGATACTTTTCTGAAAGCTGAAAAATAAGTGATCATTTTAAAATAAAGCGCTTGCCCAAAACTTACATAATCTCAGAAATAAAAAGACTTTAGTGACAATAATTCTTATTTATATTTTTCGCGAACTTCGCCGTAAATTATTGGAAGATAATTGTATGGAATCTGGCGTACAAATTAGTAAAATGACTAACCAGTTGCATAAGTTTTCTAAAAAGATACAAAAGTAATTAACTTTACTAGCTGTTTTTATTAAAATCAGCAAAAGGGCGCTGTAGGTAAAACTTTTCATTTTGATTTGTAAATTGAAATATGTATTATCATTATGTTTTTATTTTATTTTAAGCATTTAACTGCTAGATGTTCAAATCTAAAGAAACATTTAACTAGAAAAAAATCCACGCGGACCAGGCAGCGTACGAGACTCGAATTCGCACCCTTCGCAATCCGGGCGAATGCACTGACCAATTATGCTACCCTGCTTATTATGCCCTGATGGCCGCGTCGAAATTTTCCTAGCCTTAAGCTGCAAGGCAGCGCCATCTCTTCGCATTGTAGGTAACCCACAATGTCAAACGAATACTTTTTCAAGTATTAAACATTTGAAAGAAGAAATAGCAATTATCGTTATGTTTTTATTTTATTTTACTGCTAGATGTTTAAATCTGAAGAAAGGTTTTACTAGAAAAAAATATGTATTATGTAACTATGTATTATTATATTGACTGCTTCACTACTTAATAAAGACACTCAGCTACTACAATTCGAAATTTTAAACTTTCGCGCTGCATTTTATTAAATTTAACTTGGAGGCTTTAAGCGTGATGTTAGTGATAGGCATTTACACCGATAATAATGTGCGGCGGTTGTTGGAAAAACTGCATAATACCTGTACTATTATTTGGTCTTTAACTTATTGTGGTTAGTTTGTTTATTTGTGCAGGTCGTTCATAATTTAACAACTCTGAACCTGAAACCCTGAAACCTGTTTGGATGGGAATTGTCGATGATAATTTGATAGGGTCTAAAATTAAAACAAAAAGGGAAGATACGGTAAAATTATCGCTAGGTATGTGAAGAATTTTCAGCTGACAGCAAACAGTTACATTGCTGAACAATGTATCTCCTAAAGATTTCTTTAAGAAATCGCTGACTATCATTTCCTCAAAATTATTGCTTTTTGGTGGTTTTGGTTGTACAAAGTATTTCCAAACATCCTTATCAATAAAAAAAATAAACGATTGAGAGATTGAGCAATTTTAGGTGGCTAATAAAACCGATGTGCGGTGGGATGATTTAAACATCTTAATCAAGAACACGTTGTTGATACTCATTGTGTGTCATACGTTTATTCATTGTTTCGACGAACAGAAGAATACTATAGAAAAAGTGAACTCTGATGTAAAAAATCTCACATGCTCAATTCCTCAAGGTAGTGTGTTAGGCTGTTTATTATTTATTATCTATATTAATGACCTCCCAAAAATTTTAGAGAATGATTTAACATATCCAATATTATTTGCTGATGACATATCTATCTTAATTAAATGTAGTAAAGACTCTGGACCCTAATATTGACATACTCCGTACAATAGAAAGTATATCGCACTGGCTCACAGAACATAACCTGGAAATTAATTGCAAAAAAACTAAAGTAATAGACTTTAAATTGTACAAAACTAAACCTTTAAATCTTGACGTAAATTTTGATAATATCCAAATAGATTCAGTAGACACGTTTAATCTCCTCGGATTGATAATATACTCAAATATTAACTGGAAGGGCCATATAGACCACATTTAATCGAAATTGTCCAAATTTACATATGCACTATTCGAAATTAAGAGTAGCACAAACGTAGATACTGCTCTAGCAGCATACTACGCATATACATATTCCTGGCTTAAATATGGAGTCATGCTTTGGGGCAACAGCGTTAATGCAGGGCAGGTGTTTATACTCCAAAAGAAATGTGTGCGAATCCTTGCTCAAATTAACAATATGCAGAGTTGCAGACCTTATTTTTTAAAATACCAACTACTAACTTTACCATCGATTTACATACTGGATAATTGCTTGTTCATTTTTAAACATCGCAATAAGTTTATCCGTGTTTAAGACACACATAATATTAGCACTCGCAACAAAAACAGGCTGTATATACCTCCTTCACGCATAAAGATGCTAAACACCAGCCCTTATCACATGGCTATAAAAATATTTAATAAATTACCATCACAAATACGGAATGAACAGGAACTCCCTATATTTCACAAAAAATTAAAAAATATTTAACCGATGAATGCTTCTATTCTATCGAAGAATACTTTAATAAATTTAATTAATTTGTATTTTTTTTCAATAGTTTTTGGTTTGTTAAATTATGTTATAATGATGGTATCTCCCAAAACAAATTAAATATGTTACAATTTTATAATATCAAAATAATAATATAAATGTTTAATTATCTATTATTTGTTATACCTGTACAGGGTGACTAAGTCATAAGATGCTATGTATTATGTTTAAGAACCGTATGTAACACTTAGTTTGCAAATAAAGAGTTTGAGTTTGAGTTTGAAGGTTTTGATCATGCTTCGAAATCTAATCCAACCACGTAATGGAAATGTTTGGTGATAAGAAAACTATATGTGTATAATAGAGATTATGCACTTTTATTGTATTTAAATTTTCTTTAATATTATTAATCCCACTAAACTATTTAACTTTTTTGGTTAATTTTGTTTACAATGCTATATAAAATGAATTCTTAATTTCTTATCTTAATAATAACTTCGGCATCCTCCAATTCCCACTTAAGGGGTAGTTAAGGAAAACTAAAAATGACAATCTTTGTAATTTATTTAGATAAGTATTCGTGCCAAGTTTCGAGTCTATTAACTTAAAGTTTTTTTTGTTCATACAAACTTTCTTCCTCTATTTTTTAACCCTCCGTGGTGAATTTAAAAAAATCTTTTCTTAGTGCACCCCTAGGCCTCACAAGGAACTTACGTGCCAAATTTGGAGTCTCTAGACCTAGCGGTTTGGGTTGTGGGTTGATATGTCAGTCAGTTTCTTCTTTTAGATATTATGATTGGTGTGTGCGAAAACAAAAGAGGGGAGACACTTTTCATGAAGGTGGAT